CAGGTGGAAATCCAGGTCCCCATGTTGTCTAGTTATCCACGTACAGATGTCAGGTATAGTCTGTGACTCTACTGTGCTTTGGTAGAGGTTCGCCACCGTTGTTGCCATATATTTATGCTCTCTTTTCTTTCCTCTCTTTTTTTGAGTTCTGTAATCAGCGCTGATAGCTCATATAATCTCGTGAATTCGTCTCCCTGGATGTCTATGGGCGACATACTAGCTAGTAATTGAGTTGCTTTGCTGGATATAGTTCGGAAATCACTTGTTACTGGAGCAGCATATAGTGTTACTGAGCTCATCCCTTCTCGACCGCACACAGCCTCTTTTTACCATCATTCTTGTTAGATTTTATTTGCTTTATTTGATGTGTATGCCAAGTGCTCCTTGAATTCGGAATTGAAGTCCAATATTACCCCTAAATAGTTCAACTGTGGCTGTGCTCTCTCTCCTATAGTGAGAGTTATTTTTTGCTCAAATTTAATTCTGTTTTGTGCTTAGCCAGTTCCAAACTCATTGAAAAAAAAAAAACCATTGGCGCAGACCATTAATGCATTCATTACATTTATTTTGGAGGTCATCAAATTGTTGACCTACTGCTACCGCTACCACTATAAGGCCGTCCGTGTATGCGATTATCTTAACTTTTCTTGATTGTTGAATTCTTAGCACCTCATCATACACGAGATTCCATAAAAGAGGGCCTAATACTCAACCTTGTGGTAGTCCACTTGATAAAGGGTGGGTCTTAGCGCCTTCGATGGCGCCGGAGATCGGCCTTCTATTTTCAAAATAACTCATAACGATATTTAAGTGGTACAGAGGGGTAATTTAGCAGCTTCGTTTGGTCGGTATACCATTTATATTGGTCAATCTGTGAGGTGTTCTTACACCCGACACCGGTCAATCTGTGAGGTTTAGTGCGAAATGAGTTAAATTGGGTTCATCTTAATGAAATTCAGAATTCAAAGAATTTCTTCCAATAACAGTGTAAACTCTTGCCTAAACTTGATAAAATCAGGGCAATGCTTCCTGTAGCATTCATATACTATGTACCTAATAATCGGATTTTTCAATATCAGCTTGATGTTATACGTTATATATTGGTCAATCTATACAAAAAGTGTACTTATTTGCATATTGCGAAAGTAAATTTATGATATGTTGGGTTACACCCAGTACTATGCTATTTAAAAACATAATTGTTAGAACTAAATTACAATTAAGCAATTTAATATGCTTGAATGGTTTGCTGCTTTTATTTGGTTATAGTTTTGAGGCCAACGTTAGAACAGTCTAGAATAATATAAATATATAACGATGAGGGTCATTCGCACGGATTGTTACCCCGCGCTAATACTTTAATTGGTATTATTTGGAGTTAAAAGTTTAGCCAACTTTCCATATTGTCGGCTAACGGTACCGAAACGGGGTACGATTGCGTTATCACTTTACGCGAAGATCTTACAGAAACCGTTTAGTAATATCACAKTGAGTGTTTACAAGTATTGCAACAGCGCAAACGTAAATAAAGGGTGATTTTTTCAGAGTTGTTTTAGCGAAGACCAAGAAACCACATAACAGTTTAAACGAAGCGTAGTGTATTTGACATTAGTTGTTTAGAAGCACGCAAAAAATAAAATCTTTTTTGACGTTTATTTTTGACAGCTGTCAAATTACAGCCCTGCGTTTTCGTAGACTTTAAATGTCGAGCGGTTTTTGTCTATTTCCACATTTTATTACACACCAAATATTAAATTTGTAATTTCCACGTTGTTCTCTATTCTGTAGACAAATCTGAGTTTGTTCAAAAAGTTCAATGGTTATCGTCCATTTCTACATAATGTTTCCGTCGATCTATGTTCCTTCTTAGCGAATAGGAAACGTTTTCCCTTTGTGAAAATATATTTTGATGCCTTCGCGAAATACTCGAATTTCAACSACACTTGTCCGTTCAATGTGAGTATTTTGAGAGCCGAAGATTACTCTCCCTGGCAAAAAATTTATTATATTATATATATTTAAATATCTCCATTTATATGTCTCCGTTTAGCATGACATTATTTTTAATAACCTTGTGCTGCGTGATGATATGTTCGCCCGTTTTCCAATTCCTGGAGGAGAATATTTGATTAAGGCGGCATATTCGATCAACGGGATTAATGTTAATGTTAATGTTAATGAAAAATAGACTATGTACTATCGCTCAACTTTATTACGAAAATTCACGTTATGAAAAGTATGTGTTTCGGGCGCATCTCTCAGCTTTGGTTAAAATACTACTACTCGCAACACCATCAATATTCTACCGAAAAAGTCCACATCCAGCACGCAGTGAATAAAATATAGCAGGCGTTGATGAAAGTTTACGCAAAGAAGAGTCGAATCGGAGCTGTTCGCAGCGACTCGAACTGAAGTAAGACACATTTTACGTCGTGATCTTAAAATGAAAGCGCACAGCTTGTGAAAGAACTGAAGTCGCTCGACCTTCACAAGCGATATTGCTTCGCTTTATGGGCTCTTGAAAAGTTCCAAGAAGTTTTCGAGGAAAATTTTCTTCAGCACGAGGCGCATTTCTGGCTCAATGAGAGTGTAAAAAGCAAAATTGCCTTTGAGACGAAGAGCAACTTGGAAAGATTCAAGAGCTGCCATTTCATCCGAAACAAAGAACGGTTTGGTATGGTTTGTGGGCAGGTGAAATCATCGGTCAATTAATGGACTTATTGAGAGAACAATTCGGTGAGCAGATAATTTCACGTTTTGGGCCGGTCAATTGGCGACGAAGATTGTGTTATATCACACCGTTAGACTTTTTACGCTGGATATATGCGGATAATCCCGTTTCGATTTAGGCTTTTTAATGCCAAAGAACGTTCTTTCGAATGATAATAAGCATTCTGCTATAATTTAGAATTTCTGTGTTGTTTGTTAAATTAGAGAATCTCGAAAAAGGTCCCCCTTTTTATTGGCAGATTCCTAGATATTTCAATATAATTAAGAAATTACATAGTTTTGAGTTTCGTTTTGTGTAACCGGATTTTTTATTCAGTGTGAGAAACTGAGAGGAAATGTCATAAAGACTACTCCATTCCAGGGCGGGTTTTCCAACAATTAAATACAGTGTAAATATAGGAACCATAGTACGATTATAAGTTATTAGTCTCCCGAACTATGTCTTGGGATAAGCAGTTTTATGATTTATCAGGGTGAACACAGTATGAGGATTTAAAGTTAAGTTTAATCTTTGGATCATACCACGCTTGCCTCTTGAATTTTTTAGCTCAGATATCTTCCTTTTGCAAGATATTTTAATTAGCGAAATTTGTTTTTTTTTTTCGGTTTCACCTCATTTTTGCAGAAACAATCGCAATGTCATACTCACAAACTTGAATTGATGATTGTGGTGTCACCTACACTACGTATGACATTATGTAATAACTTTAGTTTGGTTTCGTCCGTCGATTTTAAGCCTTACATTGGGCAGTCGAAAAAGTATTTTGGTATTACTTATCAAGTTTTACCTTATTTTTATTTTATTTATAACAATAATAAATAAATAAATAAATCTATTTACCACTTTAATTCAAACCATTTTAAACCATCTACAGAAGGCTGGATACACAAAAAAGGTTGATGTTTCGGTGCCGCATGATTTGACGCAAAAAAAACCTTCTGGACCGAATCAACGCCTGCGATATGCTGCTGAAACGGAACGAACTCGACCCATTTTTGAAGCGAATGGTGACTGGCGATGATAAAAGGATCACATACGACAATATCAAGCGAAACCGGTCGTTGTCGGAGGCCGGTGAATGGTTCCAAACAGTGGCCAAGCCGGGATTGACAGCCAGGAAGGGTTTGTTGTGTATTTGGTGGGATTGGAAGGGAACAATTTGACCATAAGATTTTCCACAATTGGTCAACAGGAAGAGTGTAGTGTTCCACCAGGCAACGCCAGACCACACACTTCGTTGATGACTCGTCAGAAGCTACGGGGGCTCGGATGGAAGGTTTTATCACATCCACCATATACACAGACAACGGGCCAAGTGATTACCACCTATTCCTGCCCATGGCGAATGCTCTTGTTGGTGTAAAGTTGAACTCAAAAGAGGCTTGTGAAAAGTGGCTGTCCGAGTTCTTCGCAAATAGGAGGGGTTTCTACGATGGGGTTATTATGAAGCTGACGCTTATATAGAAACAGATTATTGAACGAAACGCCGCATATTTGAACTAAATCCGAAATTTAAATTTCTTTATTATTTTCACCCATTTTTGAACAGCTGAAACTTTTTTTCAACTTCCCCGAATTTCATATTTGGTTAAATGAGCTTAAAGTCTCACCTTTCCAACAATTCAAATTTTTTTCATGACACAGTGTGATTAGTAGCACTGAAGATTTACGACTGCCACGACATCTATTGACAAAATACGAAAATCTTTTTCGACTAAATGAGGAGGTATCTTAGAGTAATTTGGTAATTTAGCAATCATGAACGAAATTAAATTTAAATACTGTATCAGTTCGGATTTTATAACCCAATATACGAATTCTCGACTTTCTGATTGATGATGAATATTAAAAAGAACGTATTTTAATGAAAATACTATAATTTTTACAAAAAGTGAGTTTATCAAGTATTCGGCTGCAGCCGAATTACGTAAATACCTGAGCCTTTTTTTAAACTTTGGTTGTCAAACTCACAAATCGATATTTAATTGAACTAAAATAAAAAATAGGCCACCATCACTGATCGTTACAATTATAATTTACTTTTTATTTACTATATTTGAAAGTGCCCTTCCCAACTTGTTCGTTTTAAAATATCCATTATTGAACCTGCAAATGGTTATGCAATAAAATTTAAAATATTTGATGTATTTTGATATAATTACAATAATCTCTTCAAATAATTTTAATTTCTCTATGATTTTTGATATTTCGCTGACCAACGGCATATCATTGAGCATAAATATACTCAACCCAACTTTTTGGAATGGGGATGTCATGGAAGTTTTGTTGGATCGGCTTAATAACACTGGTGACTTCAAGCTGTTTAGTAGATACTTTTACAAAGTTTACCAACATCGACTGCAAAGCGTTCGACAAACCATTCGCCGATTTCAAGAATTGTCGCCTGTATGTGCCAAAACGTGGAGAGATCGCATTATCCTTGTATGTCCGCCTCTTCCAGATACCAGTTAATAATGTCAGTGTAAGTGTTGGATTTATTTTGAGTGTTACGAGTGAAAATGTCATGATGATGATCGTCGTAGACCCTATAAATTATATTTGTAAACGAAATTTCGCTTAGTTTTTTTGTCGTATGCCAACACTAACACCGTACTCTTTCCACTTCTCTCTTTACAGATAAATCTCTCATTTTTCAAGAAAGCCAGTGGTTATCGCCCCTTTTTGTACAATGTTACCGCCGATTTTTGTGCTTTTATGGCGAACAAGAAACGCTATCCTTTTCTAAATATATTCTTTGACATCATCCTGAAGGACTCGAACATTAATCATACCTGTCCCTACAACGTATGTATGATAACGGTATTAATGAAAATGGTAAAATTTGTAATTTTTTGCTTTACAGCATGACATAATCGTCAAAAATCTGGTTTTACGGGACGATATGTTCGGACGAATACCGGTACCAGCAGGCGAATACATGTTTAAACTAATGGTGGCCGCCTACAATGAATGGAAGGCTGATGTGAAGGCCTACTTCTCAATAAGACTAAATAAAAAAGAACGTTAAAGTAGCATCCATTTTCAACGATATAACTAATGAAGTTTGAAGGCTGATCTAGAGATCTCCACTTAGACTACTACCATATATGATATATGTAAACCCACAAAAATGTGACTCCTGTAATACGAACTAATAATTAAGTAAAAGAGCCTTGTGTTTGTTAAAAATTTGCTGAAATGTTTAATTTCTATTCCCACCTGTTCGGTGTGATATCTGAAAGAGTAAACTCCCAAGTGTTTGAGTCTCAATCACACACGGTTTGTGAGATCAAAGCTAGTCATAACATATAAATTATATTTATTTTATAAATTTATTTAGTAAAACTTTTAGTTTGAGAGTAGCCATAATATATTTTTTTACCATTCGCATAAAACCAAGGTAAGGTGTTTCAAAATCAATTTAGTGGAAAGCAAGAGTTCAATACACTTTTTTTTATCATCCGAGTAATAAGGGTTCCAATTTTAGCTTTCGAAATATGATATACACTCGTGGCCACTCAAACCTTGCCACTATACTTTCATAAATATTTTTCTCGCTTGTTCAGGATTTTCTTCAATTTTGTTTTTTTATGTTTTAAATATGTACTAATAATAGTAATCTAAATTATATTATCTAATTTTTAATATAGTTTTTAATTTATTTCTATTAAGGAGTAAACCATAAATTAGCTTAACCTTACCTTACCTTTTTGTTATCTAAGCCCCTAAAAACTTTAAGAAAAGTCCACTTGTCGATTTGATGCCACCACCAATGAGAAAGCAAATGCTGTCTTGATTATTATGGATAAAAGTTACGCGATTTTTGCTGTCCTCCAACACAGTCCGAGACAGAACGCAGTCGGTCTTCTTTTCAGGCAATCGAATGAATTTTTATACCCTGAACAGCGTATATTAGGTTTGTCACGAAGTTTATAACATATATCCATAAGGAAGGGTCGGAGACCCTAAAAAGTATATACATATATAAATGATCAGTATGTCGAGCTGAGTCGATTTAGCCATGTCCGTCTGTCTGCATTTCGTATATATAGTCCCTCAGTTTTTAAGATATCGTTTTGAAATTTTGCAACCATCATTTACTCTTTAAGAAGCTGCTCATTTGTCAGAACCGCCGATATCGGACGACTGTAACATATAGCTGCCATACAAACTGAACGATCGGAATCAAATTCTTGTATGGAAAACTTTTACATTTCACAATGTATTTTCACAAAATTTGGCGCAGGTTATTTTCTAAAGCGACAATGTTATCTCTGAGGAAATTGTTCAGATCGGTTAACTATAGCATATAGCTGCCATACAAACCAAATGATCGGAATCAAGGGCTTGTATGGAAAACTTTCGCATTTGACTTGATATCTTCACGAAATTCGACATGGATTACTGCTTAAGGTAATAACATAATCTCCGAAAAAGTTGTTCAGATCGGATTACTATAGCATATAGCTGCCATACAAATTGTACAGATAGTTACTAAATGAAATGCACCTATGAAGGGTATATTAGCTTCGGTGCAACCGAAGTTGACGTTTTTTCTTGTTTGTTTATGAGTTCATTGGTTGCAAAAGGTAATGGCTTTTTAATTCGGACAAACAATTTGAAATCACATCGCGCTTGAGCTAATCTGTCTTGATGAAAAAACTGAATTTGGTAACGCCAAAAATATTTTATCACATTTTGGTACTTCGAAATGCAGGTCTCTGCTAAATTTTATTATTTCACGTTAATAAATTGTGTACTCTTATCTAATCGGGTTCATACACGTACAAAATTCACTAATATTAAGTGCAACAGTCTCGACAAGAAATTCGCAGATTTCGATAAATGTAGACTAAGTGTTCCGAGCCGCGGCGTGATCGCTCTAACAGTGGATGTAAAAGTTTTTCAAGTACCAGTGACTAATATCAGTGTGAGTAACATATTCAAAGGAACACCTGATTCCTTTCTTGCTGCTTCATAAAACATTGATTTCTGTATTCGTTCTTCTAAAATGCTGCTAGTTTATTTTTTCCAGATAAACCTCGCTTTGTTCAAGAAAGCCACAGGTTTTCGTCCATTCTTGTATAATGTTACCGTCGATTTTTGTGATTTTATGGCGAACAAGAAGCGTTATCCCTTTGTCAATATATTCGTGAATATTTTTATCAAGCAATCGAACATTAATCACACTTGTCCTTTCAATGTACTTATTGTGGCCGCTTTCACCGAAACCAAATTAATTTTTTTTTTTGTAATTACTTGCAGCATGAACTCATTGTCAAAAATTTAATATTACGCGACGAAATGTTTGACCGAATGCCGGTGCCAGAGGGTGAATATCTGTTTAAGTTAATGGTGGCCGCCTACAATGATTGGAAAGCTGACGTGGGGGTCTACTTCACCAGAGAGTAACATTAAAGTGATGAAGTTGATTTCGGCAGGTGAAAATAAAGAATTGTGGAATTAATATTCTATGATAATAATATTCTATAGTAAAAATATTGTTTAATTCGTACTCACAAACAAAAAAAAAAAAAAAAAAAAACAGGTTATTCAATCCAATTAAATTTTGGTTATACTATTACTATGCAATACTTTTGAACTTCTAAATATTGTTAAAGTAAATTTTTCAAAATCGTTGCAAGCCATCTAAAGAAAATTTCGAAAGAAGCCAGAATACCGAAAGGTATGAATGGCTTTGTGCATTGAAAACCACATTTGGTTTCGTTGGCAGAGCAGAAAACAGAAGACTCGCTCATGAGCTCCAGGAAAATTGAAGAAATGATATCGGTCACCATAATAGAATGTAAGACTATTTCACAGCTACAGTGGTAGTACCTTGGTGTAATAGTAGACTTAAGACTCAAATTCAGAAGCACTTTTACTCGTAATAACTAATGTAATGAGTTCAGTTATAATGTATGCGGTTCCAATATGGATAGGGACAGTGGTCCCGTGGCAGAGGCATGAGATGTAAGTAGGTACGGTTTAGCGGAAAATTATCCAAGTTGTTTAAAAGAAGATGAGCTCGAATCTCTAATATTTAAAGACGAAATACATCCAAAGTTATCCATTCAATCCGTTTTTGGCATCACAAAGCATTGCTAGAATCTTGATTCTAAACCTAACCTAACTTATAGTATTTTACGTCATTCATTGCATAGCAACATCAAATATGTATATGTGAGCGTGTCACTTATCACTTTAATTGTTTAATGCTTAATTACAGCTTACAACTATTAGTGCGAGTCAAGCGGAAAAAGTTAAAAATACCATGAATATTATTACTAATAACAAAAAAACGAAAAAAAAAATAAAAAATTAGACTCACTACAAATTAGCACAACTATAAAAGTAATAACACAGTGGGGGCAATATAGCGAACGATCGCAAATATATTTATATGATGCGCATAAGAATTCATATATGTATGTATAAACCTTGGATGCTTCCATGCAAGTACAGTAAAACCGGGTTAAGGAGTTTCTATTAGATTCCGGGAAACCGCATATGATAAAAGGCACACAGAGAGGGAGTCATTGGGAATTAACGCTTGGTTCAGGCTACCAGGCCACTGTAGTTCTTTTCCGAACGGCGTTTTCTTTTGGTGATCAAGCATCAAGCGTATTAGACTTGTCTGAGTGCTTAGTCACAGCGGAATTGTCGAAAATGGTGAAACCGATAAACTTGCAAGAAAAACCATCCTTTCCAAAGTCCCATCTCGATTGGAACGTTCCAGTTTTCCGCTGCTTTCGTGCATTCTTCATTGGATCTGTGGGCATCATGTAAGCTCAGAAAGCTTTGATCATCAAACAACAATTGTGGGAGGGCGAAGTGTAGAACGTACTACTACGAATCGTTTGCCTGCCACGCATGAAAAAATGTACAATTAGTGAAGCATTTTAGAGGTTAACAAGTTTATTCTCTCTTTCTTTCATTACGTTTTGGTTTAATTTTCGAAGTAATTTTTGTATTTCTCTAACGTACTTACGTTGGCTTTAACTTGAGTATTCCAAATAGATTTAAAACTTATAAGAGTCGAACTTTTGCAAAGTCCAAACTCTAAAGAAATATTTTTTTTTTTGTATTCTCTTTTTTTGATTTTCGTATGCGGAAACTTTGTCATGATACATTTTTTTTAATATTTAAATTTATTATATTTCAAAATTAATACTTTTTTCTTGTAAAAATATTTTTTTCTTTCGAATTATATTTTTGAGTCAAAACCAGAAATTTTTGTAAAGTTTAATTTGAAAGGAAGTAGTTTTGGAAAATGTTTCCACTTTTCATATAATAAATCTTTCTCATGATAGATTTTTGTTGCATTTTCGAAATTATTATTATGGATTTGTAACAATTTTCCCCGAAAAACATAAAATTTCTAAGAAAAACGTTAAACCATATATTTTTTAAGGACAGGAGATTTTGTACGATTTAAATAATTTTTCCACAATCGATTTTTTATTAGTAATTTTTACTTTAGTTTTTTGTTTTCGAAATTAATATATCTTGGGTTTCATATCTTTTCCTAATTAATATTTTTTTCGAAATTAATATACGTATTTTTATAAATTAATATTTTTTCGAAATCAATATTTCTTTCGAATTTGTTTCTTCTTATTTAATATTTTTTCGAAACTATTGTTTGTTTCGAGATCAGTTTTTCGAAATTAATATTTTTTCTTAATTAATAGTAGTTTAGAAATTAATATATTTTAAAATTTAATACGTTTCTGAACTTTTTTCGAAATTTCTAATATTTTGAAATTAATGTATTTTTCGAAATTATTATTTCTTTCGAATTTATTTTTTATTATTCAATATTTTTCGAAATCAATTTTATTCGCAATTATTACTTTTTAGAAAGTAATATTTTTTCGTAATTAATATTTTTTCGAAATTAATAGGTATTTTTTTCGGAATTAATATATTCTTTTAATTGATATTTCTTTCGAATTTATTTCTTCTTCTGTATTATTTTTCGAAATCAATTTTATTCGAAATTTATATTTTTTCGGAAGCATTACATTTCGTAATTATTATTTCTTAAATTAATAATTCTTCAAACTGATTTTCTTTGAAATTATTACTTTATTTTTGAAATCGATTTTTATTTCATTTATTTAGTTCATTGAAAATTTTATATGTATCCATTTTCGAGGCGTCACTGTCTTATATAAACAAACCGAGATTAGCTGCACTCAATGAAAACTCTATGAAGTAAGCACGTAAACAAACGCGCCAATTATTGCGAACTATTGCCAATGCAATGCACGGCAATTAACTGCAATATTTGTAAATATATGTATATCAAGCTACGTATGTGGTGTGTTTGTATGCACTTGCTGCATTGTTAGTATGTATTGCGAATCTATTTGCAGTAACCAGTAGGCAGCAGACGCCAACAATAGCAGAATAGCAGTGCATGTATGTTTGCATGTTGTTGTGGCAGTGCAAATGGGGGCCAGCGGCCAATGTGTTAGCATAATATTGAGGCGCCAGCTGCACATCATGCAACGGAGCAGTGAAATGCGCTTATCAGCGTTAAGCGCACTTGCACTTTTCGAGCGTTCATAGAGAAAATGTGCAGTCTTGTTTTTGCTATTGTTATTGTTGTTATCGGTATTTTTGTTGTTTTCGTATTTTTTTTGCTGCTATATTTATGTCTATTGCTGCTCGTAGGCGCTTGCTGCTTGTTCCAAAAGAAAAAATTAAGTAAAATTTAATATTTTTTTCCTTCTTGATGACAGCACTGACTCATTCGTCGTCATAACACTGGCTGATTGTGTTGTGCCGGCGGTTGTTGATTTGGAATTTGCAGTCACTCATTTTGCGGTCAAGTCTCAGCGATAATAAAGCATTTTAGTCATTTGCTGTTGCTTTAATTTGCTTCTTGTTGTTGTTGATTGTGTTGTTGCCTTAGTTTCTTGGTGACTTCAGCGGCCAGCTGCATGCTTTTGATTTGAGTTCACAGCAGTTGCTATGGCTAGTTTGCAGCAAATTTAAATAAAGTATTCATAAAAGCTTATGTGTGTGCGTGTGTGCGTGTATGAAGAAATTCTCTTATGGGCTTATACTACATGCGAAAACAAGTGCGTAACAACAATGACCGCAGCTGTTCGACCGCATTTTCTTGGCGCTTGCAGACAACCGCACACATACCTATGTATATTGAAATAAATATTTAAATAAGTATTTCACACACGTTCACATACACACACATAGACATGAATTTAATAATTTTTCGCAAGCTCTCGCTATTTCGCTAAAATATATTCTTTAAGCCGCTTTTATTTGCCACACAATTGACTTATATTCGATACCAATTCATATTAAATAGTTAATATTTGCTTACGTGTATGTACGTGTGTGTGCGTGAAGCGAATCGCATTCGTTATTTACTTGCGATCGCGTCATGAATGAAATCAACATTGAATGCAAGTTGAGCTTAAGCAGCAACAACAAACACATAGCACTTTATATCATACACAAATACCTACGCACACATATACACAGTCATATATGCATATGTATTTAAGATATACGTGTATATATTGACATATCAAAGTCGAGTTCCATTTGCGTTTGCGCACCTGATCAAACTTTGCTTAGCCGGATGGTCAAGCGAGCGTGAAAAGTATTTTTATTTATTTGTCAAACAACAATAAGCGTATTCATTACCCTGCTACACATTAGCGCGCACATATACTTATGTATATAATATACATATATTTACGCAAGCATTATTGCTGCTTTACGCTCAGTTGCACTTTTTCTTGTTACTGATTTGCTATTTTGTCCAGTTTGTTCGCCTCGACTGATTGCTGAAAAGCTGAATTGTCCAGTTTGTCATTATAACGCACTCATACTTGCATATATGCTGATAGATATATGTATATACCAATAGACGTACTCACTAAAAAAAAAACAAGTCAAGTGCAAAACTATTGCAAATATTTATCAACTGGTTGATGATTTCGTCGAGTTTTAACCAAAAATCAGCGTTATAATCCTATATTGCTCATAAAAAAGCCTTAGTCCACTTTAAAGAGAGACAGTTCAACAGTGAATACACTGTGTTAAAAATGTTCGTAGTTATTTATTTTAGCAAATTACTCAATAAAATATCAGTCATCATATGCGTGACGTATTTCGGGCATAAAAAATCGAACCTCACTTTGGGAGTTTGGTTTTACACAATTTCTGTGCTGCTATTTGTCATTTGATTTCTCGCTAGAGACCGCTTTTTAGGCACTGTCAAATGCATAGTGCAATACAACATTTCTTAATGTAATGGTTACGTAGTCCCAGTTAGGATGGTAAGGATTAGATAGGTTGTCATCGAAGTCAACCAACTGTAGATCCATTAAACATGCTGTTTCGACGGGGTCGGACCATAGTGAGTGGGGTGT